TGATTTGGAACCGAACGTCCCAACAAATTTACCAAGCTCTCTTGAAATTTTCCTAATTCAGCTGCCAACATTTCCTGAGTAATAAATCCGGGGTCAGAAACATTGTGTCCACCCCTTGCTCTTCCTCTACCACGACTAGACATTGAACTTTCTTGAGTTGATAATTCTGGTTCTTATCTAGTACCTCTTCCTCTTCCTCGACCCCTGCTGCGACTTCGGGTTTCTATTGTCATCACATTTTCCGGGTCTTCCCCTTGAGTCACATTTCTTCTTCCCCGACCTCTTCCATAACCAGTAGAGGTCCTTTCAGATTGATTGGGATTATCTGCCATTTCTCAATGTATAACTATTTATGTACATTTAAACACATATGATTATTCACATAATCAAAACATAATAACACGTTTATCCTCAAGTCTATCCATAACTTAGATTATATCAGTCATATATATCTTTCTCATAATAGGTTCAGCTATAACATATTTTCCATGTTCATAGTCCCAGTGAAACCTATTATCATAACGTCCACATCTCTAGTTTAAGTCTAAGTATTTCGCAAATACCCAGATCTCTTAAACTAAGACTCTTATACCAACTATAACAACCCACAATTTCCGGTACACAGATAATCCACATACACATACTCATAAAACAAAATATAATATTGTTTACAAAATACGGGCTAACAAAAACTTTCTTGAATACATTTGTGAACAACTAAAATTTATCATTTCTACACTTTTCCTTTGCCTTTGTCCTACGAGGTATGTTGACCTGCAAAACCGGTTAGTCCAACAACTGAGTGTTAGACCCAAAAGGTCTAGTGAGTGTACAAATCTCATACAAATAACATATCTTCCAAACTTAGAATGAAACCTGTATAGATACAAACATTTATCTATTCCTCTCGCGGTTACACCGTCGTTACATCTCTCTCGCGGTTAAGGAGTTATCCGGTCACTCTTTGTTCGGTTTAGGTGATATCTGGTCACCCTTCACCCGGTTTAAGGAGTTATCCAAAATGATATGAAATGCAGTTCATAAAGAGCAAATTCTAACAGCAAAAGAATTATTATGTAATAATCAATACTTTAAAGCAATATACACTCACCTTAAAATATTTGATAGGATTAATCCTGAGATGTACCTTCAGTCTTTTCTCTCAATGATCACAAAAAACTTCTAAAAAAGAAGAAAAAGAAGAAGAAGAACCTTTTCTTTTCACACACACTTGCTATAAATAGCAAGTGTATGGCCGTCATTTAACAAAAGTCGGCTAACCCAACACCACACTCACATATACACACACATGCTTTAACTTCAATGCAAAATAAGAATCTTAAATTCTTAAATACTATACTGAATACTACACTTCCCCCAATAACCCTATAGAGCAGGGGGGTCAGGAGTGGTAGGGTAGGGTTTTGGTAGGGTGGGGTGGGGTGATAGTAGTGACATGGTGGTTGGTAGGGTGTGGACGGGGCGATAGATGGGATAGTCCAAACAAAGACAGTTGTTCCAATTATTTTGAGAGATTTCATTTCATTTCCTATCAACCAAACGCGTGGTCAAATTCCATCAAATTCCATAGTAATTCATTCAAAGTCAAATTTCTTTGATGGATTCCAATTCCATCAAATTTCATTCTCTGAACCAAACACCCCCTAAGTTTTTCGAAGATGAAAATAATATCCCAAAAGTAAAGTGTTTAAGAACTTGGTCATTTATTAAAAAATGACTATCAATAGTCAAGATCTAATCAAGACGTGCACTCTTGGTTTTCGATGCATCTTGTATCATCTTCGTAATTAGCTTAGTATCTAACTTGGAAAATTTTGTTTCCTGTCTAATCACTTTATAGCTCATAATGTTATGGCTTGAAAGCAAGATCTTTTGATAGGCACTTGTTCCTGAATTTGATCATTTGAGCCTCCTGACCTTCTGATTCCTTATCAATCCCAGCATCATACTTACTTATCGTCTCGCCTTTGAATGTATCCATGTGGGGCATCACAAATATTCCACATTTAACTATATTGTTTAAAGTTCTCCACTTCATCTTGTACCCGTTTCCTTTCACTTTTGACACGTTGTTCACCCCTGGATGGTGTATTGATTTTAAATACTCAAGCAGTGTTGATTGTTGCATCAAACAAGATAAATTGTATGAATATGCAACCTATGTTATATCAAATAGTTTTCTAATCATTAGTAAGGAATGATCAACAACATTTGGTTATTCAAGGACTACATGAACCCCAACCCCAATCAAGTTGTTAATCAAATCCACATGCATATTACGACCATGGTGAATCAAACATGAGTACATACTATATATACAATAAACCCATGAACCCATATTGCATTTTGATCACACCATATGCATATTACAAACAACTTGTCAATCACAGATGATTAGAAATCAAATGAACATGCCACTTATATTATATCAAATAATGACACTACTAAACAAAAACCTAAACACCAAAACATTTTTATTTTAACCAACATCACAATGTATTATTTTCCCATAATCATACAATAAGAAATGATCAGGAGCATTTGGATATGCAAGGACCCCATAAATCCAAATCCCAATCACATTGTCAATCAAATCCATATGCATATGACAACATTTTATCAATCATAGATGATTAGAAATGATATGAACATGCCAACTATGTTATATCAAATAATAACACCAGTAGACCCAATATTAAACCCCAAAACATGTTTATGTTACCAATATCACAATTGAGTAGTTTTGCATAATCTAACACCATGAATACCAAACCTAAATCACATTATGAATCACACATCATTAAAAACTAATATACACAAGAACCCCATGCATAGTAGTACTTTAACACAAATGATTATGAATCACAAAAGATTAAATACTAACAAATGTAAAATCAATATTGACAATAATCCAACTATCACATTCGATTTTAATATCAAATATCCAAGACAATAAAACAAACATAAATCGGTAATGTTTTAACATTATTGAAATGTGTACCTAATTGCTTCATCAATGAGGGGTTTGATAGGTTCGCTCATTGTCTTCATTGAGCTTACAATCATCAATGTCAAGTGGGTCTTCAATGGTGTTTCTAAAGGTTCCAACATCTGACCTTTGCAAGCTTACTGTTTTTTCGTAGTCCTTCAATGAAAATCAAAACACCATTCTTACCAGAAACTCTAGATGTTAAAAAAACAAAATCAGGCAGAGATTTGGAAAATAGAGTAGCAATATCATACCTGTCGCATCCATTGTCGAGATTCCAAACGTTGTTCTTGTGTAAGTCGATTTTGAATGAGGAAGATGTTTATAAATTATTGTTGGAACTTAGTTTAGTGTAGAAGAAGTTGTCCTACATAGGAGCCAAAACAAAATGTAATGCACCTAATAAACCCCAACCCTTGAGCATTAAATGAATCATTTAAATTGCTTGGGCTTGGTGTGTGGTGTTCTTAGTGGGTTCCTCTTGACATATATTTATATATATATATATATATATATATGGCCTTGAGCCTTGGGGCGGTTAACGAGAAGGGTATAAAAACCCTTCACTGCCTTAGGACACTGCGTTATCGGTTTACTGCAACGATCTTTGAAACCACGAATCTACGACTACAAGTAAGGTCTACGATTACTAGTTATTTTGTTTTCCGTGTGAAGATATTAGTCCTGCAGTTTCCTATTTTGTTCAATATAAACACATGTTAATACGTTATATGGTTGATCAATCCCTATCAATTATATCTTCAATGGAGTTGAATGGGAGACAATAAGATTCGATAAAATTGAAGAAAATCTTCAATCCATAACATGTATCAATCAAGATTTTTTGGGAAATGATTTGGCCTGCGATTTGTTAGGGATTTGATTATGCCTGTTTTTTCGTCCGCATAATGTAACTGGTCAAATTTTTTGATTTGTTCCCATTATACCCCTAAAATCTTTTGCCCATGGTGGAAAGTTAGGTTTCATCTCAATAAATTACTGATTTTGCCATCTCTGTTTATAGCCTTTGATTTGATTTAACAAGTGGTTGAGATCTATCCCTTTATTTTCATAAATATGTATCATTCTCGTTTGAACCTGACTTTCTTTCTCTCTCTCTCTCTCTCTATGTATGTATATATATATATATATATATATGTATAACACCAACAGTTATTTTGAGAACTGGTAAATGTTTTAGAAGTAATGAAATGATCTCAGTCCTTCATACGGTCAAGATCGGATTCGACTGGTCAAAAATTGCGACTTTGACTGGTCAATAATTATGGCTTTGTTTGGTCAAAAATTGCAGCTATGCAAAAAATAAAGAGTAATTTCATAACTTTTACAAATATGTGGCAAATTGATTCATATATGAACATATGTGATTCACATATGAATTATATGTTCATATGTGAACTCATGTAATTCACATATACTATTTTAATTGATTCACATATGAACTAATTAACTGATTCATATATGAACATATTAACTGATTCATATATGAACATGTGGGTTCGTATATAAATCAGTTAAATAGTTTACATGTGAACTAATTAACGGATTCACATATGAATATATAGTTCATATGTGTATCACATGAGTTCACATATGAACTCGTTTGCCGTTTACCTGTAAAAGTTATAAAACTATTTCTCTATCTTATATATACTTATGCGAGAAATTATCCGGTGCTAACTACAAATAATGACTAAATAAAGTGTTAAAAAAGAGAGGCTAAAATGCCCTTTTAATTTAACAGAATCAATGAAAATGTTAGCCAAAGCTATCATAGACCAAACCAATTAAATACAGTAAAAACTAAATTCACAATAAACATACCATAAAAAACCTTGATAAAAGAAATTATCAAAACACAGCACCAAATCCACAGTTCACTCCATTTAATAAATTAAATTCACTTTATTCAATAAATTAATTGAAAGAATATATTCTTACAATTCTGAACCGAGGAAAGGTTGGACTTTCCGGTTCATAACCGAAAACTGCAGAGGGATTATTGTCCTTTGCTTTCTCTTTCTCTCTCTCTCTCTAGGGTTAGAGCTCCGAATCTGCAACGACAATGGAGGGATGGGATCCGACCACGAAGTCAACATTGACCCAAATCCCTCTTCTAACAGTGAAAGCCGGCCCTCGCGATGGTGCTGCGTGGACGCAGCGGCTGAAGGAGGAATACAAAGCCTTGATTGCATATACTTCAATGAACAAATCCAGAGACAACGATTGGTTTCGTATCTCCGCTGCTAATCCTGAAGGAACACGGTGGACTGGAAAGTGCTGGTATGTGCATAATTTGCTCAAGTATGAATTTGATCTCCAATTTGATATCCCGGTGACCTACCCTGCCACAGCTCCGGAACTTGAACTGCCACAACTCGATGGGAAGACTCACAAGGTTCGTAAACAAATCGAAGATTATAAAATTTATCATTTTATGCTATTAATTCGGATTTTTTGAAGATCTTACAGTAACTTGAGTTTATGGCTGATTGTTCGATGATTTTGATTGTTTATATTTAAATTCGAAATCTTGAGTATTAGTTAATATGACCAATTTCAACTTTCAGTTGACGTGAATTTTACGCTTTGCACAGTCCAATTTGTTTTTAAACTTATATCATTTAGAAATGAAGCTACTAAGTGAGTCCAATCAGGAGGAATGAAGACGGACCCACAGAATTGAGAACTTGGGAAAATGATCGAGCTTTTTCTTTCAATTCTGCCATGACTGTCTTAAGTTATCTTTATTACATTTGAATCAAAATCTGTATCTTCTGAGTAGCTGAAATGACTCTTTATAGGATTGCTTGCTGAGTAGTGGTATTATGGAGTTATGTTTTAGTTGGGACTTCAATTCCTAGTCTTACAAGTCGGCATTGGAGCAAAATCAGTTTAACACTGAACTAATTGGGCTGCAATTCCATTCCACACCTCATGTCTGTTTTCAGAAATGATGTCTTAAATGTTACATATTCCAGTGAAATTTACTGTATTTGCTTAACAAGAATGCCAGATATACCAATTAACAACAAATCTTGTGGCTATGAATATATATGCATAAACAAACTCACTTTTGGTCTTAGCCGACTGTGCTAAAATGACAGCATTTTGATGGCAATGAATTTCACCTATTCCTTTTTAATCCAACTTTTGCTCTGAGTTTCTTCAAATTCAGGGGAAAAGCTTGCAGCTGTAGTAACTTACATATAGAGTCATGCTGATCATAAAATTTTTGCTTCTAGAAAGTTGCTAAAATCTACGTCTCATTTATTGTTTGTTTGAATTTATATCCTATCCATTATATGCTTAATGAAGATATGTTTTGCTATTCACTAAATGGATGTTTATGTCATGTATTTTTCGGTTACAGATGTATAGAGGGGGGAAGATTTGCCTAACGGTGCATTTCAAGCCACTCTGGGCCAAAAACTCGTAAGAATGTTACTTCCACCTCTCTTTAAGTTTTACTTTATCGATTTATTGGGTCTATAAATGAAGTAACTATTCATATATAGAATTCACATAGAATGTGAAGTTGATGACAACCAGAAAAACATGTTTCCGTAACTAGCACTAATCAAGTCATAAAGAATATGCTTTGGTAACCAGCTCTGTTACCTACAGCTGATTCATGACATAAGCTATCAATGCTTTTTTTTTGAGTTATTTGGTGGTGTAGCTAAACCGATTGAAGAAAAACAAGGTGCTTGAGACCATTGCATGCTCATGGTGGATGTCAATTGTCAAATAAACATTATTTAAGGTTACATAACAACAATTTATATAAACCATTGAGGATAGTTGAACTTGTAAGGCTTCGGGTTTGCTCTTCATTGGTCACCCCCCTTAGGGGCATTTTTGGTTTGCCCAGTTGTTAACTTCATGGCCCCATGAGATTAGTTGAGGTGCACATGCTGGCTTGGACAACCACAATTATAAAAGAAACAACAATGTATATGAGCAAAAGTAAAGCCTAGCAACACGAGTGGAGTAAGGGTTAAATGTTTGTATAAATTTTATAGATAAAAATGTAATTGTCGAAGATGTTTAAAGTACAAGTAAACAAGCCTCTGTGAGGACTTTATGCAATGAAAAGTTTGAATTCGTGCAATACATGAAAAAAGTAAAGGTTAGAATTTTTTTTTTTGTAAACTTAAGTCCCTGACAATAATAAAAACTGCCTTCCAGAGCTTGTTTGTTGCAACAAAGACCCATGCACCATATTGTTTTGTGCCTTGGCCATTTGATGCTCGACATATCGTGAATTGTGCACAGGTGCGCCAAGTGGCAAAAAAATCTTCTCTTGTGCCTTGTGATGCTGTGAGCGAAACAAAAAAGTAGTTCTCACTCTCTAATTGCTATTATTTTGTATGAAGCTTAGTTTGTCATTGATTGCCATCATATCATCTCTTGAAATGAAAACCTGAGTTGCATTTAATTTTGATAAAATCATAAGGTGGTTTGTCAATGACATCAGGATTCATAAAATTAAAATTGAACTCACTTCAGGAATGTCTAGAATTGGCATTATAACATTATTAGACTTGTCTTGACATGCCAACCTCGTTACGCTAATGTAAATATTTGCAATTCTTTTCATGATTCGAGTTCACATAATATGTTCATGACTTCATGCATGGCACCTTGAGGGTACCAGCATTATTGACCATTTTAGATCAGTCAAATATCCCTTGATTATATGTCTATTTGACATTTAAATTAACAATTTGAAGTAAAGATTAACGGAGTTCAATTAGTTAATAATTTGAAAGAATGTCATCGTTTGTTAATTAAAAACAAATGACACCAACTATATGAAACTTAGTTTTGTAAGATCCCACCTCATTTGAATAGAGATGACGTAGTTGATGTGATTGTGAGAATCCAAGTATATGATAAATCTTTTCCTTGAGACATACTACTGAAAAACCCTTAAAAGATTCGGTGCTTTCAAATTTTCAAAATTTATCAGCCATCTAATAGTTTCCAGTGCCTGAGACTGTAAACAATTGCAAAAATCCGTTTTCCAAATTCACAAAATGATAATGAAAAATGGATGAACAAAACCATTACCAACTTGTCCAAAGTTGATGCCTCAACTTATATCCATATCTTACCTTTAACTTGTCGGAAGCAAGGTTTTAAAAAGTGGAATTGGGACTCCAGGCATTTTTCTTTCACCCTGTGAAGCGTAAAACAAATAAAATTCATAAATATTAATAGTAACCAAAATATAATTCCATACCAAACTTTAAACGTCATAGATTCATAAATACTAGTTATACGTCTAAAAACATATCAATCTACAACTTATAGTTCCCCGTAGCATGATCAAGTTGTATAGCTCCACATAATCACTATCACTTTCATCTTCCAAATCCACAGAAAAGAGAAAAATAATACAGAAAACTGAAAATAATATAGAAAACAGAAAATAAAAATAATACAGAAAAACATAAAATATACAAAAAAACATACATAACACATTGTACATATAGAAAATACATTATACATGATATAGGACATATATACTTGACTGAAATATATGTAATATAATATAATACATTATACATAAACTAAAAATGTGGACGCAAACTAAAAAGAACTTACTTTTTGGGTTGGCTTTTGAGATGAATATCTTCAAGAGAGGAAAAAGTAAGAAATGAAGAAGAAAAAAAATGTTGTTTGGAGAGGCGTGCGCCTCAGAAACGCCTCACACCTCAAGGCACCGCCTCACCAATTGAGGCTTAAGCCTCGTCCATGGACCATGAGGCGCCGCCTCATGAGCGGTTTTGGACTGCCTCGCCTTGAGGCGTATGCCTCAAACGATTTTGAAAACCATGATCGGAAGTTGTTGTTTTCTTCATATAATCTGAGTTTCAACTAATATGTGTGTGTTTCAGGCCTAGGTTTGGTATAGCACATGCTCTTTGTTTGGGGCTTGCACCATGGCTTGCAGCAGAAATACCAATTCTGGTGGATTCTGGCATGATCAAGCATAAAGACGATGCAGTCTCAACCAGTGAGCCATAGTATGTTGTTTCTTGTCGCCAGAATTCTCACTCTCACTTTCTAAGTAAGTTGTGGTTTGGCTGAACGAAATAAGCAAATATCATGGACTAATTGTGCAATATATGATCCTGATTGAAAGAAAAGGTTTAAAGTTATACTGTGGATGTTGAAATAGTGTTCTAGTTGAATTTATGTCATTATTTTCGTGTATAGACTTTGCATTTTATGTTTAGTTATGGGTCAGGACACAGGTTTGTTGATCGACCCGATTCTATGGATCCATCTGCCTCTTGGGGTTGGATGAACATGTGGTCTTTCACCAGGACAGGACAGGACATGACAGACTGGACAGATTAGAGTGAGTTAGGCGGGTAAAAGAATTGCGTAAGATCTTAGTGTTTTAATTTGACATGGATAGTTTAGTAATTTATCCATCTCCCTATTTATGTTCCACCTATTTTGTTGCGACAACAAATATGCATTTTTATCCTACGTAGTCCGTGTCGTGTCCTAGTCTAATATTACACCATACGCGGGAGAAGTTTCTATTTTGTCCCATTGGTCTTCAGTACCAAACACACTCATGGGACCTTGTCCTTTAACTCTTGGGGTGTGCTCCCCTTGCACCGTGTTAAACAACTCGTTGACCATATGTAACACATTTAGATGCTATTACCGTACTACCAAAGGTGTCTATTAGATTCCATCATTAACAACCCCAAATATTTACATTATGAAACTGCACAATAGGTTAAAGCAAAATTTACTTCTTTAAAGAACTTCCAAGATATTATAATTGTTCTTTATTTTGGACAAAGAGGATCGTTTAACCGTAGCAAGAGTGCAAAAAATCGAGTCTTTTTTATTGCTCCTAGGTCGTAGCATAAGTAGGGTGATTCTAAAGGTGCATGTGTTTATAGAACACCCTATAAAAATGTATTTATTAGTTCTTCAACAAGATATGTTGGTTTAGCAGAAATCATTAGAAACTCTCAATTTAATCATTTATATGGTCGGCAGCAGTTACCCGCTTCACACATGTCAGACTATCTGACATTTATCGTGGGGTGGGCTATCCAAGTAGTAAGCCCACCCCAAGATGAGTACTCTTCTATTCCGACTTCCCCAAAGCCTTTGGTGGCAGAGTCGAGAATATGAACCAGGAAGTGAAATTGTAAGCTCCCCAGCAGCGGGAGGAACTTGGGGCAAAAAAAGATATGGTTCTTTTATTCGATATTAAAAATTAAATATTCAAATTGTTAGGACTTTTGGTGCTTCCACATCCATGGAAAACAAACCACAATTTTCAACTTAGAACATGATTATTAGGCAATGGGAAAATGACACATAACTGGAACCAACTTTATCAATTGGAAAATGACATCTAACGGGAATTAGTTTGATTGCTACTTTGAGGTCTCCATTTTAGGATCCGGAAAAAAGCCTTTTTATATGTTTAAAGGTAGGCATGGCAACGGGGGCGGGTTTTGTAATCCCCGACCCTGGCCCTGGTTTGTAGTAACATCCCCCGGCCCTGGTCCCCGGTGGGTACGGGGATTAACATCCCGTCCTCGGTCAAACCTCTATCAATCCCCAGTCAAACCCCGGTAAATCTCCGGTCAACTCCCATGAAGAACATCCCTTAGTTTGATTCTACCGGGGATCCCTGCTCCCGGCCCCGGTTTGAATAACATCCCCCGACCCCAGTTTGAGCCTACCGGGGTCCCCGGCCCCGTCTCCGGGACCCGTTTTAGCGAGTAATCTCCGTCCCGTTCGGGTCAGGTGAACCGGGTTCCCCACTGGATCGAGGCAAATCACTATTCCTATTTAAAGGTCTGGTTTATTTGTTCATTAGGTAACTCACAAAATCATTCATAGATATTTAAAAAGTTATCTCATCATTAATTAAAAAAATAAAATAAGGGGGTGTTTGGTCCACTCAGGAGGATAAAAATTGGAGTAAAAACGAAGGTGACAGTATGAAAATGGGAAAGGCTATTTTGATCATTTATTGTTATTTCATCTCAATATTAAAGCCAAGTTATGCCAATTAGGGGTGTTGTTGGGTTGATCGGGTTGAAGGCATTTGAACAACCCAACCCAATGCTTGTGGTTTGGAAAAATCTTAATCCTAACCCAACCCAAACCAAAGTACAACCCAAACCAACCTAACCCGTACGGGTTGGTTGGGTTAGTCGGGTTGATACTTTGGTATATTAAAATATTCTTCTAACCTTGAACATGTTATTTCTCTATTCATAATTTCTTTTTCATCATCAACCATTTGATACAACTTATCTATATTTCTTACGTTTATCATATTCAGTTAATTTTCTAAATTTATATATATATATATATATATATGTCTAATCGAGTTGTAAAATTGTCAAACCGTAGATATTGGGTTACTATTATTTGAACTCGATATCATTTTATTTCTTGGATTTAATATGATTGTTGAATTTCTATTAATATATACATTAGACAATTACACTATCATGTATGTTTTTCATATACATGTATTTTCAATATATTCATATCACTATATAACTCATTCAGTAACTGTGAACATATATATATATATATATATATATATATATATATATATATATACGGTCACTACGACCGGATCCAGTCTGAGAGATGAGCTAGCTTTCTTTCGGGTGATGTCAGAATTTGCACCTATTTTTATCAGGTTTATTCCGTGGTAAACCAATGAAACTGCTTTACAAAGTTTCTCATTGAACAAACTCAAAAAAAAAAGAGTCTTATGAGCTAAATCGATGGCACTTGGGAGCGAAATTCTTGGGTCATCTCAATGGGTTATTGAATGGATTATATAGTGATATGAATATATTGAAAATACATGTATATGAAAAGCATACATGATAGTGTAATTGTCTAATGTATATATTAATAGAAGTTCAACAATCATATTAAATCCAAGAAATAAAATGATATCGGGTTCATCGGGTTGGGTTGAGTTCAAATAATAGTAACCCAATATCTATGGTTTGACAATTTTACAACTCAATTAGACATCGGGTTACTTCGGGTTGGATTATTTCGCGTTGGGTTGATCGGGTTGGTCGGGTTTTTGAGCACTCCTAATGCCAACCAGACATGTAAATTTCAATTCTTTTTAAGAGATTTCATTCAAATTCATGCAAATAAAAAAATATGGTTGAACTTTATTGAATTATATTTCAATACGTCTCAAATATTAATTCCTTTGATAGGATTCAAATTCTACCAAATTTTTATATGAAAACCAAACATCCCTTAAAGATGTTCGAAATTGAATCTGCTTCTAGATAAACCAACAAGTGAACTTGATGCAGAATCCCTGAGAGTTGTGCATGAGGCATTGGACAAGATAATGATCGATAGGACAACCGTAATTCATCCGGGCACGATGGTTAAGGAAGGTAGTTTTACGAAACAAACTATCCTCGTTCACATGTGGAATTTTAGTTGTTAAATATAAAAAGATTATGTGTCACGTTATAATTATTAGCACCATGTCACTATTTTAAAGTTTTCTAGTTTTTAAATATGACATGGTATACCAGCTTACATTTAATGAAGCCACATCATCACTAGCAGGTTGTCACGTAAATCAGTTACTTCAAATTCTAAAACAAATATCTTTAAACTCGGTTTTTAAGAAAAAAATAATATCAAAGTTGATTTTATTTCAATGGAATTTTCCTTTTTGTCAAATAAGTAGAATACTTTTTCAGAGTGTTTGGGTTTACGTATTAAAAAAGTGATTGTAATATTAAAATATCGATCATAATCATATAATGTGGGGATATTATTGTGAAAACAACATACGCACCATGGCCCACATATTGATGACCATCTGTTTTACGGATAGTCTGGAGTTATCGTATTTGAACTTCCATGACTATAGGGGGATTTTTTTTCTTCACTGGATTCAAACCTGGGACCTCCAGTCAATTTTGACCTTTGGAGTTCAAACTTAAACCAATCGGGCACCACCATTGTGAGTGGACTATTTAATTTTCGAGTTAAATGATTCGTATAACCAAATATTTTTTTTTAATTCAGTTAAACCGAAAAACACATTTTATTCATACTTTATATATTTCATTTTTATAAAAATAAAACCAAAGAAGTATTACACTGTTATTGTTTACATATTTTATGTTTATACATGTTTTTTTCTTTATGGTAATTAATTTTTTTTGTTTGAACTGATTTCGTGGAAGAAGAAATAATGACTTTTGACAGATTTGTTTTTGTTTTTTACTTGATACAAGTAAATTATTAAGATGTCTGTACGATATAATTATATATTAGAAGCAAGAGATATTGAACTTGGGAAAACTATTAGAGCAAGTGTCCAAAGCAAAATATATAAATTCTTATTTGGTTTAGTTACCAAAACGAATATCCTGAAACCGATTAAACCGAACCTTATTTGATTTGGTCATTGGTTAGTTTTAAAAAGGTTTAAAACCGAATAAATCGAAAACCGATTTAGCATTCTCTCGGTCAGTTAGCATGCGCCAAAAAGTACAACCTGATCGGGCCCTTTTCAATCCGAGACCCCAACCCGGCCTAATCCTAAAGAAGTAAGCCTTTTTTTTCTCATTAACAACGGATTTAGAAGGCTACAGGCAGCACTAGTAAAAGAGATATGACAAGACTTGAATTAAGTAAATTAAATGAACTCAGTAAACTTCACCCAAAACAAAATAAGTTTGAATAAAGGCAACATGTATGCAACATTTTCTTTATCCAACGGCAATGGGTAATTTCTTTCCGTTAATACCCACACAATGAATGATTGTACACAAGGCTCGAATCAAAGTCACCCATTCTTTATTTATTTTGTAACTGACTAACGAACATAAATAGCAAGCTTAAACGAGGCCTCGTATGGACTCACATACGCTTAGCTAATGGCTAATGCCGAGCTGCCAACTCTAGGCCAATTGGGTTGAGCTCTAACTAACCAGCCTGATTATGTTTATTAACAAACCCGTCCACGCCCTATAACTAAGGTCCCGTTTGATTTGAAGGAATGAAATGGATTTGGGGGATTTACATTTCAATTTCATTCAAATCCATGTTTGGTTTATTGGATTGTCCGGATCTGAAATCTTATGATTAATTGAAATCCTTCAAACATAGGATTTTGAAATCCTTCAGGATTTTACGGGATTTCGTAGGATTGTATGCAATAAGGTTCTAAAAAATGTTAAAAACATTTGTTTTGTAATAATCGATTAATAAAAATGGGATTCAAATATTTATAAGTTTTTCTATAAAGTATTTCTAAATAATGAAATCAAATTCCATTCCAAATCCTACAAACCAAATACAACAATAATTTCAAATCAATCTCAATCCAAATCCCTCCATGAAATCCAAACCCCTGCAAAACAATCATGCAAAAGGATCCTAATAGTTAGAGGTGATCATTTATAGGCTTAAACTGGACCCGAACAGAGCCTAACATAAATATTAACGGACTTAGTATAGCAAACACAAGCCCGTCTTTACAGGCTTATGTACTTGACAGTACCCGTCTTATAAACAAGTCAGGCTTGCCCATGGGCTAACAAGCTTATTTTTTTAACATTTGAAAAACGAAACTTATACAAAATCATCTAAATTATACTTTCTTTCCAACATAAAATAAGACGTAAAAGATAACAACGTACATAACATATGAAAAAACTAGTTTTACAGTATACGAAGTATGGATATTTTCTCTTCAATAATTTATCAACTCTCAAAGTCTTAATAAACAAAATATTTATCCACCTAATATTCCAAGATCAAGATTCTAGACGTACTATATAAAATATCACATATCGTAGATATTTGGATGACAATTAGTACTCAGTAGAGGGCTAAGTGGGCTTGTTTGAATTCTCTTTTTCATTGCCCGAGCCTGCCCATTAATTTTAGCGGTCCAGCCCAAGCCCGCCTACTTTTTCAAGAAACCCGCTTTCTAACGGACCGAGCGGGCTGGGTCTAGCAAGCCGGCAGCTATAATAATAGTCTAAGTGGAAACAAAACTACAAGAAGTTTTCAAATGTTTTTAACATTAACAACCACTGAATGACCAACCATATAAACAACAAAATACTCAGAAAAGAAAAACATATCAACCGAAAACGATAAATTTCAATTAACGGAACCACTTGGCCTTTACATGTCCAACGATTAATTGCAAAAGACTTCACTACTTCCTGTTACAACTTTGTTCCACGGCCCTTGGCGCTGCAACGATCAAATTTATGGGAATTAAAGGATGCACGTAATAAGAGAGGAATAATATTATAACTATAGATGAAGGATCGTGTGAAAAGGAGAGTTAAGGTGAGAAGCGTAAGAAGGGATCTGGACCCTTTGAATTGCGCTTGTTACAGGGATTGATCCAGTGCATCTCATCCTAACGTGCATTCAAGAGTGGAGATCCCTTCTTACGCTTCTCATATTAACTCTCCTTCTCACCGGACCCCAACCCTATAATTATAATAAAATAAATAAAAAGCCGAATCTCCAGCGAATTTCCTGAAAGTCGGTTTTGGGGCTGAAAGTTGGGCCAAATGCAATTTGTCGTGACACTTGGGCCATCACGAACTTTCTGTGCATATCTAACAGGCCCCATAACTACCAACGGATGGTCATTATAATGCTTGGCCCATTGGTCCATAAATGAGTCCGCCAACACTAGGATATGTTCCCCCATCACTTTTGAGGTGTAAACTTGTTATTTTGTTGTAAAAATGCTCGTTTGACAGTCAAATCTCGACTCTTTCTCCAGGACAAAGGTAGCGGAAGGGTTTTGGATCCGTTCTAATTGTCCAAATGGAACTTGTATTCTCTTTCAAGAAACCAACATCACCTTTCCAAAACATAAAAGCTACCAATATCAGATTTACTATCCTCACTTGTATTCTTTATGTCAAAAACTTAATACAGCAAACCGTGAGAGGTAGCTCAATTGATAAGCTCCCTAGAGCTCACCATTCCATGTCCCGTCAGGGCTACTCGAAGGTTTGACTGACTGTTAACTTAAAGCACGGACAGACCTATGCGGGAGCATGTGCGACTGCTTCATGGTTCCATTTTAGTGGAAAAAAATATTTACGTTCCTCAAGGGTGCCAACATAATGTTTTGTTGTGTGCCCCTATATTTCTTATAACTAAACTTGTGACACAAATTTGTGATAGTTAATTTGGGTTCAGTCGTGGTGTTAAAGTTTCTTGTTCGGAATAACATGGATTCGAATTCCATTTTTAGTTCTCAATTATGGGTTTCTATAGCTTTTGTTTATTAATTATTTTTGGAGGAAAGCGGTTGTGGAATGGGTTGAACCTATGACCCTTCCTTGCAAAAGGCAAACTAACAAACTGATCTATTATGATTTAGTGAAAATTTTCTATAGCTTTCATCCTTATGATCAACTGATGCCACCGCTTAAATATATTTTGGATCCATCTTTGACTACAAGACCCATGGGATTAATCAAGATGTATGCAAGCTGGCCCGGAACTATAGGTATAAGGAACCCTCTTGAGCACCCTAACCACACTGGTCAAACAGCTATCCTGGGAGAGGTAAATCACTGCAAATCAACAGTAAGAGGCTGTTTGATTGGTTTTCCATTAAGTCCTGTAGAGATAAAGCCGATTGTGTAGATTAATCTGTTTGTATAGATTTTGAGGGCCTTTTCGTAGATGGTACGAGTGTGTTTTTAATTGGGAGGGGCAGGATTGAAAAAAACTTGGCTTTCTGCATAATGCTCCCCCCTAAAAGTTTACTAGATAAGCCAATTTCCATATCATTAAGCCACTAACAAACACTCATGTATAGCTGACCGAATAAATTGTGAGTCCCATTAAGCACATTACGTTGTTAACGAACAGGTCCTAAGTGGTGGTGTCTGGTTCTTTGAACCCTTTGTGAATTCCCACCATCCTACCACTGAGTAAGTCAACTCATGCGACGAGCTTAAGAAACAAACAAACCCACTTCACTTGGGATTCGACCCATTTGAACAAATTTTCGTGCATATAAGATAAGGATGAACTTTCTAGCATTTATACTCACCTAGACCAATGGCATCACAGCTCTTCATGATCCGTAGCCTTTTGCAGGTGCCTATGAACATCCTGCATGGATACATCAACTTACATGAGGCCAATAGCAAAAATATAAAAAGAAAAGAACGCGTCGTGCTTACTCCCACGGGACATCCCCAACAAGCATCCAGTCACCATCTTTGTCCTCATACGTAAGCACATATTCTGATCCATGCAACAAGTCCTTCAGTTTCGTCTCACTCAACTTTTCGTTCCCATGAGATCCATACTCACCTGAAAACCATAGCAACATATCATATAGTTGGCTTTTGACTGTAAAGGCTCTACTTTCGAATGAGATATATTGAGCACTCGCCTATAATATTAACCCGCGAGAGAATAGTTGAATATCTTGTCAAAGGAAAAATAGAGTTTGTGCAAAAAAGGGTTTTTTTAACCCGCAACCCCATGAGCATCATGTGAGAGGCAAATCAGCTACACAACATTCTACTAGGTGGCTGGCTTAAGAGCCCAATCACTAAAGAAACTGTCAGACTCGAACCCTCACCAGTTTGTGCAAGTATACAGCGCTGGAACCAATTGTGCTATGGCACAACAGAGTTCCTTGCACAAAGAATCCTCCACTAAACAAAGTCCAGATTTGATTCTTTTTCAGAGTGTCCAATTGACTTGTTTTCTAGATTCAAATTAATCTATTCTATAACAGCATTTGACCATAATGTTACAGTTTTTTGGGATAAAAAGATATATGCCAATTTTGAATCTAGAAAGTAAATGTAAAAAAAGGAGCTGCAACTAACCTATTGTGAAACAGCTGAACATTTTCTCGAGTGCACAAGACAATTCCTGATATACGGAATAAGCTCTCAAGTCAACTTTCCTTAGATACGGTGCACCATCCATGCTGACCTTCACGAAAAGGGCACTGGCCCCTGATTTTCCCTCTACTTTCTTTGAAGTAATCGTAGCCATTGAGTTCTTTCTGAATGATGATCTTAAAGGCGGCCAACCCACAACCTGTGCCCTGTCATACATGAAAAATATTCAATCAAAGTTGAGCCAATGGTCAAACGTTTTCCATTCTTTAGAACTTACTTAGTTGGGGGGGTGTTGCTGTTATTTGCAGCATTCGAGTGGTTTTGTTTGGTGTCGTTAGCCTCACAATGGCTTTCTTGAACTGAAGCAGCCATGGAAGATTGGATAATATGCGCCTCAGTGTTTGACCCAAGTGTTCCCTACATGGATGAGCAATGGTTTCAATATTATAAAAGCCTTAAATTCGAGTTTTGAGGTCAACTAAGCTAAGGGGCTGTTTGGTTGGTTCTCCATTAGTCCCGTGTGGATAAAGCTATCTGTATGGCTTAATCTATCGGTATAGATTGGGAAGGTTTTTGTTTAGCAGAGTTTTTTCATAGATGGAAGGAGCATGTTTTTTAATTGTGAGGGGCATGTTTGACTAACAACTTGCTTTCTGCATAAAGCTCCCGCCTCCCCCCACTATCTATATCAATAAGACACCACCAAAAAGTCATGTATGGCCGACCGAATAAGATGTGGGTCCCATTAGGCTCATTACGCTTCTAACAAACATGCCATAAGGCTAAGTTTCGCAAACAAGCTGATCACCTGGTTGTTGGCTGATAAATTAGTCACGTTTGGTGAAAACTCTGCTTCCTCCGTCCTACAATAAGTGCCCACATTTCTATTTTAGTTTATCCCAAAATAACTTTCTACTTTCAAAAGTAAATGCTTACGTTCCAGTTATACCCTTTGATTATGATAAAGAGAAGCTCGTTACTCCCTCTATTATTAAGTGTAAAATTTTAAGTGTAATGATTACAGATTTCTAAAACAATGTGCCTTTTCCATTGTGGTCATTTATTTTTGGAACGGAGAGAGTAGACGCCAATGTAAGATTACTTAAAAGAGTAGGGTTGTTTGGTCATTTTTGCAAAATATAAGCAGTATAACTAAAAAAAGGTGAAAAAAAACCTTGGAACTTGTTTCAATGATGACTGAAGTGGCTTTTCGAGAAGATAGTTTATGGTTTACAAAACATGACTTTTTCAATAAGCTAACTTATGGTTGCCAAACAGGGACCTTCCAATCTTTTTGGAGGCCCTGTTGCATCCAAAACTTTTGATTATATTGCATAAATGAGATAACAGAGAATATATGTTCAGAACAAAATGAGCTAAACCTAAACGATTAACAATATGAAACTAAACCTAAACCATTTATTATATTTAACCTAAAACCAAACAATTAATAATTTGAACCTAAACAATTTCGGCTATAGTTTTACACAGGTCAATAGAAAGACCCTAAACACATGTAAATTTGGCCCCCAAGATTCCGAGAGTCCTGTTCAAAATCTCACATTTAACATGCTAAGGGATGGCACTGTTGCCAAACATAACTTAATATCTGAACCCAAAGATGAAGAAATCTCTAGATTTCAAACATAAATTTTTTTTATTGCAACAGAGAACTTCATAACAAACGATACAAATAGAAACTGCCAGTTTACAAAAATATAAAAGGAAGAAACACAAACCTCAGAGAAAGCAAACCCTCTTTTGTTTCGGGAAACAACAGATTTGGGCGAGAACAAAGGAAAATGCGAATTCTCATCTATTTTTGATGAGCTCAATAAGCTTAGTTCAGGGTTCCTTTCAGGTGATCGAGATCCGGGAAGCCCGAGCCTGAGTTCCGTGGCCTTTAAATTCAGCCTTAAATTCATGTCGTGCGAAGAAGCTGAGATTGTAGAGCTGCCCACAGAAGAGCAATCAGATAATCCCATGGAATTCCACTCTCTGAGACCAGTGGCGTTCCAATCTTTTTGGAGGACCTATTATGCATGTACCAAGACTACTACAAATCGACTGTATGAGTAATAAATAAAACAAAATATAAAAGTTCATACCATATATCATATTAAAATTTAAAACTCTTACAAATTAAACAAAAATGTCTTAAAATGACAATGTAACATATGAAACTCGCTTAAATTGGATCATTCTTCGAAAGTCGGAATTGGGAATCGCCAAATTAGCTAAAATAGTAAAAGCCTAAAGCATTATAATTGGGCTAAAGGTTAAAACACATATATTATGGGGCCCTGTTCTGTATCTCACATTGGAACACCCTTCGTGCATATCACACATACACTAACACACATTATCTAAGGAGGGTGAAGAAGTCAATAAGTTGACTTTGGTTTGAGCCTGCTCTTCTCCAACACCAAGCAGTGGTGGATACATTGTGATCAAAGATTAAAAAGAATCTTTCATTTTCTATCATTGTTCAATAACCTACATTCAAATTAGAAACTTCCTTAAATTGAATGTTCTAGTGAAGCATTTGATGAGGGTAAAGATGGAAACAAGAAATGCATATGGAGGTCAAATTTGACATTTTTGAAAGCCTCAAAGAACATCATCTTCATTTGTCAAATCACCATATCGGGTGTCTTGTCAGAAGGTCATTTAGCTAAACAACCTCCTCGCAAGTGTTTTTTAAATCCATGACCTTCTTATAGTTTTTTAGACATTCTTGTGTATGAAAGTGACATTCTCAAACGTGTCAGAAGGTTATGGATTTTATAAAATCCTTACAAAAGGTCATGTAACCAAAGGACCCAATTACGGGTTACCTAGCTAAACGCATGGTTGTTAAAAAAGCCTAGGCTCTAAGGCTCATAAGGCTCAAGGTCTTGGGTTTTGTAAAGTTGAGGCTCGGCGTATTCATGATCATGAGGCTAGCTAAGCACCTTGTGGGCCTAGGCACGCCTCATAAAGAGTTATTAAATACTTAGTCAAATCCTAATACTAAATAAGTTCTCTAATCTTCTCATCTCCTGTTTTCTTAAAGAAAGAGTTATTAAATAGATAATATATGTCAAAACCTAATATTAAATACCCAATCCTTAGAACTTCAAGCCTTCTCTATGAATACCCGGACCTTACAACTTCTCCACGGCTCATGATTTAAACCTTTCTTCCTTCCCTCTATCGAAATATTGTTGCTTGCTGCATTGGAGGCTTGTACTTGCTGCATATTTGAGTTGTGTGTGTGCCTATATATATATATATATATATAATTTAAACCTTTCTTCCTTCCCTCTATCGAAATATTGTTGCTTGCTGCATTGGAGGCTTGTACTTGCTGCATATTTGAGTTGTGTGTGTGCCTATATATATATATATATATATAATTTAAACCTTTCTTCCTTCCCTCTATCGAAATATTGTTGCTTGCTGCATTGGAGGCTTGTACTTGCTGCATATTTGAGTTGTGTGTGTGCCTATATATATATATATATATAAGATGCGCTTCACATTCCTGAGGCCCGCACCTCATGCCTGCGCCTAGGTCCCAGGAGTCAGAACCCCTTGCATCTAAGTGTGCCTTGAGCCTTTTAACAGCTTTGGCCTAAACCATCACCTAACAAGCGTCTTTTAAATGTATGACCTTCTGCCAGCCTTTTTAGGCATTCTTTCGTATGGTAGTGCCATTCTCAAAGCTGTCAGAAGGTTATGCATTTAATAAAAAATTGTCCGGAAGGTCATTTAACCCCTGCAATTACACTTGTCAATAATTTGTCCACAATCATTCACTCTTGCATATTATGATATCATGTTTTTACAGCATTTCAGTATAAAAAAATGGTTAATTTGCAGATAGAAAAGATACCAAAATACCATCATTCGACCAAATCAACTAATTAAAGCATTTTGCATGAGTATCTGCCACAAAAGGGATGCAAAATGCAAGTAAAATCTTGAAAACAAAAATCACAGGGTCAACCGTTAATCTAAAAGACCTCAAATGATCTCTATTCTTCGTTGATTGTGAGAAATTAACCAATAAGCAAAATCCCGATGATCATATTCAAGTTATAAAACCCTAAATTAATAGATTAGACCCTAACAACAAGAGCAAATACGTGAAACCCATTTTATTAACAAGAAATCTTGAACTACAATTTGAAGATATATGTATGAAATTAGCTACTAACACTGCCATTTGCAGCACAGGCACTCCAAGAAATCACATACACACAAAACGAAAAAGACAAATGTGGCTAAAAACCCAGATAAGAAAATGAAGGAACAGTATAAAGAATTTAAAAGGAAAAAAAGGGAAACGGATTGAGAATTACCTGAAGGAATTCCAAGAAATGGGTTTGATGGAAGAGAAGAGACGACGGTGGTGGTGGAGTGAGTTCTTCGGATTCGCAGTGAGGGCTAAAAAGCAACAAAACCTTATTTGCTGTCCAATGTGAAATTCGACGCCAATAATAATATTACACAAAATTTTATTAAAATAGTCCATTTGTCGGGTTGGTTTCATCCGGGAGTTCCTAACATTTTATAGGTTACGGATGAACTTAAAATTAGGGTCCTCGGTAAATACGAAGAAAAATAAAAGACAAGAAATGCTAATAATTTATTGAGTAAAAAAAATCTTATTTTTTTATCTATATTTATATCTATACTATATTATAAAGCATATGATAAAAACTTTTTAAAATGATTTTTTATACATGAACTACTATTTATTGATGCATATTATTTAAAATTTAAGATTACAAGTTAATTGTACTTAAATACAACTTATTAAAGCTCCATACTTGAATTTGTCTAACTAACTGCTAGATAAACATAATCAAATATTTGATAAACATCTCATTTTAAATATACAAAATTTAAAATATAATTAGGATAATCATTAATAACTAACAAAATACTTAATTATTATCTTTATAAAAAATTATATTATTAAACCTAAATAAAATTTCTTTGTTACTAAAGCTAAATTAAATTATAATTAAAAAAATTAATTAAGGAAATTACAACAAAACACAAGAACTTTTAAAAAGATTAATTTAATACTGATATCGATGTTATTATTTTTCAAAATTTTTCAAAATTTTATGATATTTTTAAATTTATATTTTATTTAAAAATAAAAACATTATCACTTTCTCAAAACCACATAAAACCAATGTTTACTTAAAATTCAAGATTACAAGTAAATTATGCAAAAGTACAACTTATTAAAGCTCGATGTTTGAATTCACATAACTAATTGCGGATAAACATAATCAAATAGAGAATAAACATCTTATTTAAAAATATAAAAAATATAAAATATAATTAGGATAATTATCGAATTCTAACAAAATAATTAATTATTATCTTTATAAGAAAATTATATTATTAAACCAAATATAAATTACTTTGTTATTGTACCTAAATTTAAATTATAATAAAAAAACTGAATTAAAAAATTACACAAAAAATGAGAAATTTTAAATAGTTAATTTGATACGAATATCGATATATTTTTGTTATGCATAAAGTACTGTATATTGATGTATATTACTTAAAATTGAAGATTACAAGTAAGTTATGCATAAGTACAACTTATTAAAGTTCGACGTTTGAATTCGTATAACTAATTGTGGATAAACATAATCAAATAGAGAATAAACATCTCATTTTAAAATATAAAAAATCTAAAATATAATTAGAATAATTATCGAGTTCTAACAAAATAAGTAATTATTATCTTTATAAGAAAACTATATTATTAAACCAAATATAAATTAGTTCGTTATTGTACCTAAATTAAATTATAAAAAAATTAAATTAAAAAATTACACAAAAAATGAGGAATTTTAAATAGTAAATTTGATACTAATATCGATATATTTTTGTCAAAATTTTATGATATCTTCAAACTTATATTTTATTCAAAAATAAAAACATCATCGTTTTTTCAAAATCACATACGACCATATTGTAACATCGACTGAGATAAATAATAAAATGAAATATTAAAATCAAGATGTATCTCGTTGCATTGCGCGAGTACCCTTTTAGTTATATTATAAAGCATTTGACAAAAACTTTTAAAAACCACTTTTTATACATAAAGTACTGTTTATTAATGCATATTATTTAAAACTCAAGATTGCAAGTAGATTGTGCGTCAGTACAACTTATTAAAGCTCCATATCTGAATTCGTGTAACTAACTGCAGATAAACTTATTGCAAGTAGATTGTGCGTCAATTATTTCGTTATTAAACTTAAATTAAATTATAATAAAAAACCAAATTAAAGAAATTACATAAAAAATGAGAACTTTTAAATAGTTGATTTGATATTAAAATTGATATATTCTTTTTCAAATTTTTATGATATATTCAAATTTAATTTTATTCAAAAATAAAATCATTATTGCTTTCTTAAAAACACATAAAATCGTATTATAACATCGACAGAGACAAATAATAAAATAGAACATTAAAATCGAGATGTGTCTCGCTGCATTGCGCAAGTATTCTTCTAGTTATAGATAAAAGGGTACTTAAATACGTACTTCAAGTAATAAGTAACTCAAAATATGAAAACTATGGTTGATAAATTTTTATAAAGGATTTCTTTAGTTCATAACAAAAAATATGTGTTATTTTGATGCAAAAAGAGAACTCGTGTGGAGAAAGTAATCGCGAGAGTCAATGAGATATCAATTATAGATAAGACTATGAAGGTTTTCTAGACAAATGAGGATCAATAAGAATATGGAAGAAAAGATGATTCATTGAGATTCAATAAAAATAAATAATGAATGAAACATATAATCTGCAACTCAATGGATGGTTGTTTGTGCACTTAAATAGAATCTTGTGGTATGTATTGGAATCCCAATGAAAGATGTAGAAGTCAAACAATTGATGAGAATATTTGAATTTCCTTTTCCTTATTTTTTTTTTGCTAAATTAAAATATGTAGTTAAGTATAAAAGTTTATTAAACATGACATATATAAGGGACATTACTAAATATATTTTAGTAGAAAAAATTTATAGATTAATCACAAAACAATAAAACACGTCATAAATCATAAGAATAATAGATTGGCCGTCAAACAATAGTACAATGTCTTTTATAAAAGCAAAAGTAGATAGCGATAGTTAACAAAAGCAATTAAAACAACTTAGCTAAATAGCGATAGTCAATAGAAGCAGAAATAGATAAAAATATTTAACAAAAACATATAGGATCATCAAGCACACGGGCTTAATGTTTTGAAGCACGAAAACAGTCAATCATATAAAAATAGGAATAGGCAATAACATTTGATCTTGGTAGGAGATAAAAAAATAGAGAAGCAATAAAAAATAACATATAAACGAATGACTAATGACTAATTTTTTTCCTTCTCTAATGTGATTAGTTAATATATTTTTTGGCTTTTATTATCTCCTAAATTCGTTTTGCCTCTTACTATATGCTACAATTATTTAGGTTTCTTTGCTTTATTAATTTTTTTAGACTACTACTGTATTTTTGGGCCCTGGGCAAGCGCCCATGCTGCCTCCCCTAGGGACGGACCTAGTTTCACCTTTTAATCATTTTCTCTTCAAGTTTACCAAAATGGCAATAGGTCCTCAAAATCTACGTCTGCAATTGCAGACCTAGCTAAGAAGATAACTTTTTGCTACACTTTCTACCTTTGTCCGCAAAAAAATTATATTTTTCAGCAAGGTCCGTAAAAAAATTTAAAATTAAAGACCTAGGACTATTTTAGTAAACCTTGTAACGAAGTGGCTAAGAAGTGAAACCAACCAGTATTAAAATGACTATGTTAATTAATTTCCCTAATATCTATATACTATATTATAAAACATGTCATAGGTTTATTTGAGAATTGGTAAGTATTTTAAAAAATACATAAGTTATTGTAGCCCTTCATCTGATCAAGATTTGTGATTTTGACTATGAAGTCTCGGATAATTCTTCGCATGTTATGCGGAAGATAGAAGATAGTTTCGTAACTTTTACATATAGCCGCCAAACAAGTGCATATGTAAGCACGTGTAATTCACATATATTATATATGTTCATATGTAAACTCATGTAATTCATATATGAACTATTTAACTGATTCATATATGAAACCCCTCTCCATAAAGCATTTGACAAAAACAATAAAAAGAAACTATTTTTTATGCATTTGATAACATATTTTTTCAAATTTATATTTCATTCAGAAATAGAAAATATTATCGTTTTCTCAAAAAATCACATAAAACTGTATTATATTGACAAAAACAAATAATAAAACGAAACACTAAAATCGAAATGTATCTCGTTGCATTGCGCGAATAACCTTCTAGTTATTAATAACATTTCCCGATTCTCTATAGAGAAGAAAAAAAATTAAAATATTCAAAACAAAATTACCTTTCATTTCCAACAAATTTTCTATTTTGAAGATTACATAATTAATTATATTATTAAAATATTCAATACTGTTGTCCCTAACAATCAATCTTCTTGAAAGCTTCAATCAACAATGGCAGATCTGAGTTTTTCTTCAAGAACAATATGAGAGAAGAGTTGAGAGAGTTTGAGAGAAATAGTCAAACATTCAAGCTTGGTCAAACCTTTATACGTAATCTGATTTATCAAAATGAGCTCTCTCTCTAAATTACAAAGACACCACCCTTTATATAGGGTCAAACTACAAGACAAAGTCAAAGTCAAATACGATGACTTTTACACAATTCTAGACAAAATTAACTTCCAAGACGAATACAATTTTACACTAACTTTCAGTCCTAACATTCTCCCCCTTTTTATTCAGACTTGAAAGAATTTGCGCGCTTTGAGTCTCGTTTGAACTTTGAAGCTTTAAGCACATTATATCTTCTTCAAAAACAATTTTCAACATGAAATCTTCAGACAATCATTATGTTGAGAAAGATCTTCTAACATTCTCCCCCTCGAATGTAGAACAACGATCTTCTCTTTAGACAATGTAGAACAAAAACAATAACGAACTTCAGAATTGATCTTCAAAGAATCTTCAGACAACAAATCACAAATTTTCTCTTTGATAAGAAAACTCTGTTGGTAAACTTTTGAAGCGAAGATCTTCTCATTCAAAAAACTCTCAGTCTTTTTAGCACAGGAATAATGTTTCTGTAATCATCTCTAGTCGCACTTCTTTTGAGTCTTTTGTCAATATTGAAGTTACTCCCCCTTGATCTTTACATCAAATTCCCCTTATAATGTTCGGAATTGGACATTTCATTCATYATTACATACTCCCCCTTATGATGAAATGAGAATCATTCCATCATACACAAGAATGAATGAAATCTTCTGCGTAAGCCGTCAATTCATAAAATTGTAAGTAGTTGCATCGGCTTCCTCTTCCTCGGCTTCAGAGACCGGATAAGTGAAGCGAATATGTGTCCCCTTCGGTAGATCAAATATCG